GGACAGTGTCAAATGCTGTTTCTAATTAGATCAAGCAAAGACTCAAAGCCTCCAGAGACCACCTGCCTATAGACTGATAGGATTCCAATTTGAAGTGGCCCCAGGCAATCATCTTCAAGTGTGGCGAGAGTTTTTTCAACAGGGTGGGGCAGTGGCTTCTGCCTGGAGGCTAATTGTTATTTTTGGTCTCTTAAGAGTGACCTGAGGGCAAGGTGTTTTCCAATAGGCTGAGTCAACTGTCTTCCCCTAGGCAAGGTAAATATCTGTTTGGCAAAGATGTCCTCTGCTGTGTGAAGGAATGACTCAGCCCAGGAAACTGGGGGTGTCTGCCTTCTGAGCTCTATCCCCGCCGAGTCCCCAGTCCTGTTCACACAGCTCCAATCCACTGTGCCCTCCTTCTGCTGGAGCACAAGGTGGGTGGCTCCATAGGGAATTTTGTGCGTTGGCCCTTTAAGAGGGTACCTGAATTTTCAACCATCTCTCCATGGCAGACAGCAACTCCATTGCTTTTCACAGTCAGATGTTATGTGGGTACCCTCCTCAGATTTGGTGCTCTCTGCTGGGGAGCCCAGCTTGGCAATTAGATCCCAGAGTTCTCAGTTGCAACCCCCCACAGTTGAGGTATCTCTGGAACTTCAGTTGCTGTCTGTGGCGCCTGGCCAGCCCTTTTGTGCCTCCGTCCCTCCTACCAGTCTCTATGCTATCTCCACGTTCAGTCCTCAGGTATCAGGGTTGTCTCCTGCGAGTCTTCCACTGATTATTCAGAAAGTTTTTCTGTATTTTAGTTGTAATTCCAGTTTGTTCCTGGGAGCATGTTTGTGTAGTGTCCACTTACTCTGCTGCCATTTTTAACCCTCTCTGTGTGGCCTTTTTATTAATCAGGAGGGTTATCTCAGCTGCAGAGGCCTCCCACAAGGAGCAATGGGTCCCAGCCTGACACCAGACCCCCAGCCCAGGGCACCAGAGCTGGGAAGAGAAGTCCCCATAACTTTGGGCTGTAAAAAACAGTGGGGATTGTGGCTGAGTGACAAGGAAGCTGCTGGAGACCCAGGCAGTTCCGCTTAAAGGGCCAGTACACAAACTTACTCAGACACGATCCCTCTGAGCTCCAGTGCCGGGTGGCTTTGGAGGACCCAGGGATATATAAGGAGGCACTGGGTTGTCTGGCACCGTGGCAGGAACTCAGCGGCAGATTTCTCCCAGACAAGGAGTCCTTGCAGGGGTCATTGTTCCTGTGCTGGGACCTCCCCCATTGCAGAGCTGCCTGGCAGCCATATCTGAGTTTCCATCAGCCTGGCTCACACTGTTCACTCTGCCCTGGTAATTCCCTGAGACCCCGACCCACCCAAGTTGTTTGCAGCAGCTTTTCCATATCAATTTACTATCCTCACTCAGGCTTCAGACTTTGCTAAAAATCTTTCAAATAAGCAGCAGCTGGAGTCAGCGTGCCTCAAACCTATCAATAAAAGGCCAAGACCCAGCACTAGCACCAGCCTGCCTTGCTTCACAGCTGGACCTCGCATAGGCACTTCACAAGCCCAATACAAGTAGCAGCCATCTGCGGATCTCTCTGTAGCTCCTGCCCAGTGGCCTCAGGCAGTGGCTGACTTTGCACCTCTCGGGAGGCCCCAGAGCCAGTGCACCCAGTGGACAGCTTCTGACCATAGCAGATTACAACTCTACGCATCCACCAGTGACACACTCAAGGGGCAGACTCAGTGAGCACAAAAGCCCCACTGAAGCAAGTCCTGCTCCATAGGGGTGTCTCCTGCACAGCAGCTCTCCCACTGTAGTCCCAGCCAATCCTCACAGCCAATTGGCCTGGAGGTCAATTCCTCCCAGTGACACCAACAGCAATCAAGTCTCAACTACAATAAGACTGTGCACACAGCCCACACAGGGTGCACCTAGAGTGCCCAGCTCAGGTGACTGGGGAGGCTGAGCCACTGGGCCTACAGGACACCCACACAAGGCCACTCTACCAACTCCAGGAGACATAGCAGGTCTACCTAATACATAGAAACAAACACAAGGAAGCAGCCAAAATGCAGAGACAAAAAAATATGTCACAAATGAAAGAAATGGAAGCAAGCAAATTACTGGATACCGAGTTCAAAACCATGGTTATAAGGTTACTCAAGGACCTTAATGAGCACTTCAGTTGACTCAAAGAGAACTTCAAGGGATTTAGTGAGGCTTTCAAGGATCTTAGTGAAAATGTCAAAGACATGAAAAATGATGAGTCTGAATATACTTACTGAAATAAAGAATAATTTACAGGGATTCAACAGGAGAGGATTCCAAGAAACAAATCAATTATTTGGAATATGAGGAAGCAAAAAACACCCAAGCAGAAGAGAAAAAAGAAAAATAATACAAAAATATGAAGATAGTGTAAAGAGCCTCTGGGACAACTTCAAGCATAACAACATTCACATTATTGGTTTGCCAGAAGGAGAAGAGAGCAAAATATTGAAAACCAATCTGAAGAAATAATGACAAAAAAAGTACTCTACTGGTGAGAGAAATAGACTTACAAGTCCAGGAAGCACAGAGAGTCACACAGGAATCCAAAGAGGCCCACACCAAGACACATTATAATTAAAAAGCCAAGGGTTAAAGACAAAGAGTGGCCGAAACCGGTTTGGCTCAGTGGATAGAGCGTCGGCCTGCGGACTGAAAGGTCCCAGGTTCGATTCCGGTCAAGGGCATGTACCTGGGTTGCGGGCACATCCCCAGTAGGAGATGTGCAGGAGGCAGCTGATCGATGTTTCTAACTCTCTATCTCTCTCCCTTCCTCTCTGTAAGAAATCAATAAAATATATTTAAAAAAAAAAAAAAGACAAAGAGTGAATCTTAAAAGCAGCAAGAGAAAAGCAGTTAGTTACCTACAAAGGAGCACCCATATGACTGTCAGCTGATTTCTCAACAGAAACTTTGCAGGTCAGAAGGGAGTGATAAGAAACATTCAAAGTAATGAAAAGCAAGGACCTATAACCAAGGTTATTCTACCCAGCAAAGCTATCATTTAGAATTGAAGGTCAGATAAAGATAAAGCTAAAGGAGTTCATCACCACCAAAACAGTATTAAATGAAATGTTGAAGGGTATGCTTTAAGAAGAGGGAGAAGAAGAAAAAGATAAAAAATATGAACAATAAAATGGCAATAAATACATATTTATCAACAATGAAATCTATAAATCAAAATAAATGAACAAGGAATCTAATGTACAAAATAAACTGAATAAAAGAGAATCAGAGGCATGTAAACATGGAGCAGACTGACGAATCTCACAGAGAAGGGGAGGTGGGAAGAGATTAACCAAAGGTTTTATAAGCATACCAGAGGCCCGATGCACAAAATTCGTGCAAGGGGCTTGGCCCTCACAGCCGCGGTGGCTTGCCTCAGTTCTCATACCCCAGCTTCGTCCAGAGGATGTCTGGAAGTTTGTTCGGCTGTCCAGTCTAATTAGCATATTACATTTTTATTATTACAGATATGTATTACCTATGGACACAGACAATAGGGTGAAGTCCTGGGGTGGGGCAGGAACCAGGTGGAGGGGGGAAACAGGGAAAAAAAAGGGGGATATCTGTAACACCCTTAACAATAAAGATTTGTTTAAAAATGGGCAATGGCCTTCAATAGAAACTTCTTTAAAGAAGACATATGAATGACCAATAAGCACATGAAAAGATGCTTAATATCATTAATCATCAGGGAAATGCAAAACAAAATTACCATGCAATACCACCTCACACCCATTAGGATGGCTGCTATAAAAAAATAAAAATAGCCCTAGCTGGTTTGACTCAGTGGATAAAGCATCAGCCTGTGGACTGAAGGGTCCCAGGTTCGATTCCAGTTAAGGGCACATGCCTGGGTTGCGGGCTCGAACCCCAGTGGGGGACATGCAGGAGGCAGCCAATCAGTGATTCCCTCTCATCATTGATATTTCTATCTCTCTCTCCCTCTCCCTTACTCTCTGAAATCAATCAAAAAAATAGAAATAGAAATAAAAAACAGAAAATAACAAGTGTTGGTAAAATTTTGGAGAAATTGGAACCTTTGTGCACCATGGTTGGGGATGTAAAATAGTACAGCTGCTGTGAAAAACAGTATGAAGGTGCCTCAAAAAATTAAAAATAGAATTACCATATGATCCAGCAATTCAACTTCTGGGTATACAACCAAAATAACTGAAAGTAGGGTCTTAAAGAGAGAATTGCTCACCCATATTCATAGTAGCGTCATTTGCAATAGCTAAAACAAGAAGCGCCCAAGTGTCCATTGACTAATGAATGGATAAGCAAAAGGTCACACAGACATACAAGAGCACAGCATCCAGCCTTTAAAGGGGAGTGCTCTTCAATCGGCTACAATATGACGGACCTTGAGGACATTCTGCTGAGTGAAATAAGCCAGATACTGTATGATTCTACTTACATGAGGTATTTAGAGTAATTAACATCATAAAGACAAAAAGTATAATGGTGGCTGTCAGGGGCTGGCAGAGGGGAAATGAGGATTTATTGTTAACAGGTATAGAGTTAAACAAACTGAAAAGAATTATGGAGATGGTGGTGATCGTTGTACAATGTGAAGTATTTAATTAATAAAACTAAACTGTATTGTATACTAATAAATAGGTCAGATGCAAAATTTAATGTCATGTGTATTTTACCACAAAAAAGCAGGTACCCAAGAATTAAGAATTAAAATTAAAAATGAGAATTAAGAAATTAACTTTTTTTAAATCAACAAAAACCAAAATTGCTTCTTTGAGAAAATGTAGTAAAATTGATGAACCTCACCCAGCAGGACCGATCTCTGTACATTTACACAGAAAAGAATAGGAGGAAACAGTTCAAACATAAACAGGGAGATTTTTATATGTGCAAATGCAGACCCATTTTTACTTTCCTCTGAGTTTACTTTTCTGTAGGTAAATTCTTTAGCAGGACAACTCCACGGTGTGAAATGCAGCTTTTAGACTCACCTGGCAGCCAGGGAATAAATGGCATTGGCCGATGCGGAAGGTTTGATTTTGGGGTGCTCACACTCTGGACCTGCTAATGGGCTGCTATTCATATTCTGGAAAGAAAAGTGTTGAAAAAGGACCTTCTTAATACAGCTAAGCATCTCCTCATATTAACCTACTGACAATAACAAGAACAGTAATATAGACACAGACCTCACTCCACGCCACACTCGGGTTATTACATCTAACAAAAGCACAGCTGTTCCAGGCTCTGAAAAGCTCAAATGTAGGGAGACGAGGGAGATAGAGATAAAAAACAAGCCAAGGACTTATGTATTTTTTCTTAATTCTAGAAATACTTGTGAAAATTGTTTACACAAATACCATTTCTAACTTTAAAAACCGATTTTTCTATATTGACACCACCACAAAGTCAACCCTAATCCCTCACTGAGATGCCACTTAAACCTGTCATCCTCCCCCTGCAGTCATTCCTGGCCACAGCATTCCTCAACCTCTCCCTTCCACTTCCACTTTTTCCCTTAGATTTCTAACTACCTGTTGGTCAATTCTTGCTTCAATAGCTCATCTCAAATTCAACATGTCTCTAGCCAGGTTCAAAACCGCAAGGGTGCGTGCGCGTGCGCGTGCGCGTGTGTGGTTTCCTGTCCTGTCCCCACCCACAGCCTGCTTTCAAACTTACTGGATCTTTGTTTCTCACCCTCTCAAGGCTCTGCCTAATCTGGCTGCCCCACCTGCTCACAGACAGCTGTTCTCCTTCCTGCTCACTTAGCACCAACTATGGTCCACCCTGTCATCCCTCAAACACTCTCCTCAGCGCAGCTGCTTTCCCTTCCTCCTGGAACTGTCTTTCCCCAGAATTAGCATGGCTCCCCTCCCCACGCTCCAGTCTTGGCTTAGCTGTCCCAATACCCCTTTTGCCCTACTTTTTCTCTACAGCACTCATCCATGTCCAACACCCTGTATGTTCTAACTTATCTTTTTTATTTTGTCTTTCCCCTACTAGAATATAGACTTTGTAAGGGCAAGAATTTATGTTGAGTGCATAACTGAACCAACAAATAATGAACATACCTCTTCCACCCTCAGTTCCAGACCCCTTATATCTCATGCTTAAAGAATGGACCACTAACCTGTCTTTTTTTAATCTATTCTCTTATCAATCCATTCTACATACAATTATTGGAATCATCTCTTTATAATTAAAAAACGTTTTTATTTATTTTAGAGAGAAGGGAAGGGAAAGGTAGAGGGAGAGAGGGGGAGATTGTGAGAGAGAGAGACATTGATCAGTTGCCTCCCATATGTGCTCCGACCAGGTATCCAACTGTGAGTGGGACAATGCTCCACCAACCGAGCCACACCGGCCAGGGTGGGCATCTCTTTAAACTGGCATTTTGGTCATGTCACTCCACTAAGTTAAAACTTTGAAATGCTCCCCATTTCCTACCAAATAAATTTAAATTCTTGTGGGAGGCCCTCTAATCTAGTACTAATGCCCTTTCTAGCCACCTTTCATACTTTGATACACAAAATTTCTGCTCTACTCAGCCGACCACTCATCTGTAACACACCAAAGCCTTCCTGTCCTGTAGCTCTGCTCTCCTCAGAGCTGGGCACGCTGTGGAAAGAGTCCTTCAAATTCAGAAGTCACTCTTTCCAGGGAGCCCGCACCGTCGGCTCTATCTGGAAATAGTTTCTCCTCTAAAGCTCGTGCTTTCATTTACACTTCTCAAGGTGCGCGCATTCACACACACACTTGCGATATTTACAAATATGCCTTACCTGCTCTATAAAAATACACATTTCTTCAGGGTAGGGACTATATTATCTTTGAATCCTATATAAAACCTGTCACAAACACTGACCCCTTAAAGGTCACCCACAAGTATTTCTCCTTTTTTCTTTATTAATCTTCACAAGATATTTTTTAGAAAAAGGAAAAAAGGGGGGGGGGGGGGGGGGGTAGAGAGAGAGAGAGAGGTATCTACTGGTTGCCTCCCACATGTGCCCCGACTAAGGCCGGGGATCGAACCTGCAACCCAAGCATGTGCCCTTGACCAGAAATGGAACCCTCGACCATGCACCGCAGGGGCTGATGCTCTAACCACTGAGCACAGGCCAGGCCACAGACACTTCTGAACAGGCTGAGTCATTTCAACACCAGGACTCACCACGGAGGCATCCGGACCGAAGGCGCTCCCAGGCCAAGGCCCCTCTGCTCTGGGCTCCATTTGGGAGGGCAACGAGAAGGGCAGGGAGTGCCGGTTGGTCAATTCCCGTCCTGCCCAGGGCTCCCCAGGGCTCGGGGTGACGACGGGCACTCTGGGGACTGGCCGAGGCAGCCAGGACTCCCCAAGGCGGCTGGAGGGGACGGGGGGCAGTTTGTCCCTGGACGGAGAGTCGCCGGGAGTACAGGGCAAGGGGCGCCTCTGCGGCCGGGCCTCTGCCCCCCCAGAGTAAGGCCGGTCGGGAGGGGGCGGTGGCGGCAGGTCTCTCAGGGTGGGGGGCGCTGGCAAGGGCTTGTCCTTATGCAGGGCGCTGGCGGCCTGTGGGGCAGATGGAAGCAAGTCAGTGGTGCCCCGGCTCCCAGGCAGGCAGCAGAGGGGGCAGCAGAGGCGCAGGCGGTTGGCGTTACCTTAGGCGCCGCTCCCAGGCCAGCGCCCGCAGGGCCGGGCAAGCGCTGCTGCAGCAGGTCTAGTCGCGGCGGCACCGGGGGCAGGGGCGCCTGCGGAGCCGCGGAGAACGGAGAGGGGGGCCGCTCCACCTGCACAGGGAGGCCTCAGTCAGGCTGGTGGGCGTGTGGCACCCTCCCCGCCCACGCTGTGGACACTGACCAGCGGCCATGGCACACCCGGCCCTGCTCGGCCGCCAACAGGCCGGTCCCCATGCCGGAGGCCCTGTGGGCGCAGCCACAGGCCAGTGCGCACAGCCGGCCGATCTTCATCTTCAGATAAATATTTTCAATATTAAAAACAGAAAGCCATATAAAAAGAAAGGAACAGACATTAACCTCTCAAGAAATCATCTGGAAAACAATGCTTTAGGGGCAGAACCACCAAGATCAACGACAACAAATTCTCTGTGGGCTGTTATGGCAGAAAGAAAAAGAGTTTCCTAAGGAAAACGCTCCACAAAATCACTAAAAGGCATATGCATCCTTCTGAAGAAACTAGAGGCCCGGTGCATGAAAATTCATGCACTGGAGGGGGTCCCTCAGCCCGGCCTGCCCCCTCTCACAGTCCGGGAGCCCTCAGGGCGGGAGGCGACCTGGTGATCAGGGGAAGGCGACGCCCCATCACACCTCTGCTACTGCCACTGCCGGCAGCGCAAGGCTCAGGTGGCCCTGGTTACCTGAGCCTCAGGTGGCCCTGGGCGGCTGGGGGGCTGAGGGGACTGGGGGGACTCCGGAGGCAGGCGGGCGGAGCGGCCAGGCCCGCCCTGCCATGCACCTGCCACCCCGGCAGGGCTGAGGGGACTGGGTGCTGCCATCTTGTGGCTGTGGGCGCCGCCATCTTTGCAACGGCGTGAGGGTCAATTAGCATATTCCCTCCTTATTAGATAGGATAAGTTGTTTCACTTCAGTAATTAAAGGAACTAGCATTTTCTGTCAATTTGTGATCTAAACAACGAGGTGCCGAATTAGAAGACACCACACACGTGAAGCCTTTGCCATCTCCCGGCCTAGACGACAGCAGGCGATGGATGGCTGACTGTCCAGCAGGAAGCCTCGCCCAGCTGCACGTGGAGCCTGCAGGGCATCAGCTGCGGGCACCAAGGCAACCACAGGACACAGCCACCACACCTGCCCCTTTCTTGGAGCTGCTGGTGAATGAGGTAAACACAGTCCTAACCATTGCTCCTGGCCTTCCCTCCAGCTTCAGAAAGCGACCGTAGAGGGGGCGCGAACAGTGCGATCTGGGAAGCTAAACACGCAGTTAAGAAAGCGGAATCTGGCCGAAGCTGGTTTGGCTCAGTGGATAGAGCGTCAGCCTGTGGACTGAAGGGTCCCGGGTTCGAATCCGATCAGGGGCATGTACCTGGGTTGCGGGCACATCCCCAGTGGGTGGTGTGCAGGGGGCAGCTGGTCGATGTTTCTCTCTCATCGATGTTTCTAACTCTCTATCCCTCTCCCTTCCTCTCTGTAAAAAGAAAAAATCAATAAAATATATTTTAAAAAAAAAGAAAGCAAAATCTGCCCTGGCTGGTTTGGTTCAGTGGATAGAGCATCAGCCTGCGGACTGAAAGGTCCCAGGTTCGATTCTGGCCAAGGGCATTAAAAAAAAAAAAGAAAGAAAGAAAGCGAAATCTGCCCTAACCAGTTTGGCTCAGTGGATAGAGCGTGGGCCTGTGGACTGAAGGGTTCCAGGTTCTATCTCGGTCAAGGGCATGGACCTTGGTTGTGGGCACATCCCCAGTAGGGAGTGTGCAGGAGGCAGCTGATCAATGTTTCTAACTCTCTATCCCTCTCCCTTCCTCTCTGTAAAAAAAAAATCAATAAAAAATATTTTTAAAAAAAGAAAGCGGAATCATTAGTCAAGTTAACCCTCCCTTCATCATCAATTTCTAGTCAATCACCGTGTCCTGTTAATTTCCCATAAAATGATCTCATATCTACAGCAGCCTTTTCATTGTGCCTATCAGCCCTGGGCCTGGTTTATGAAAACCGTTGTCTAGCGGTTCTCCTAGCTTCTAGTTTTTTATCTCAACACATCCTTTTGCTCACCATTACCAGCTCAGCCACCCTTAAATGCTCACCAACTCAGAAACCATCCATCCGTAACGCATTCTCCCCCACTCTTTATGCTGGAATTCCCTCTTCCTCACTTTGTTCAAATTGTTTCCCAGTTTGGAAGGCCCTCTCTGCCTATGTTTTTGTATATGTTCTTATTGACTTCAGTGAGGAAGGGAGAGGGAGAGAGACAGAAACTTCAATGAGGAGAGAGAATCATCTGTCAGCTGCCTCTTGCACGCTCCTACTGAGGATCTAACTTGAAGCCTGACCAGGAATCGAACCGTGATCTCCTGGCTCATGGGTCGGCACTCAACCACTGAGCAACACCAACCAGGTCTGTATGTCCTCTTTGGAAAAATGTCTATTCACGTCCTGTGCCTATTTTTTTAACTGTATAGTTTGTCTTCCTTTTGCTGAGTTGTGTGAGTCTTTATACATCTTGGAAATCAGCCCCTATGAGATGTGTCACTGGCAAATATGTCCTCCCCCGCAGTGGGTTCTCTGCATTCTGAGGCTGGTTTCTTTTGACACGCAGCTTTTTAGTTTGATACAGTCCCATTTATTTTTTTTTCTTTGTTTCTCTTGCCTAGGAGATTGATCAGTAAAAATTCTGCTACATGAGATGTCTGACAATTTACTGCCTGTTTTCTTATAGATGTTTTATCACAGCTTACATTTAGTATTTTATTCATTTTGAGTTTATTTTTGTGTATGTTGTTAGTTGGTGGTCTAGTTTCATTGTTTTCAATGTACCTGTCCAATTTTCCCAGCACCATTTATTGATGAGGTCATCTTTACTCCAGTATATGCTCTTACTGCCTTTGTCAAATATTAATTCAGGATAAAAGCAAGAATTGATTTCTGGGGTCTCTGTTCTGTTCCATTGATCTACCTGCCTGTTCTTGTGCCAGTACCAGGCTGCTTTGATTAAAATGCCTTTGTAGTATAGTTCGATATCCAGTATTGTGATCCCTCCAACTTTGTTCTTCTTTCTCAAAATTGCTAAGGCTACTTGGAGTCTTTTTTGGTTCCATACATTTTTGGAATATTTGCTTTAAATCTGTGAAATATGCTGATGGCATTTTAAGAGGGATTACACTGAATCTATAGATTGTTTTGGACATTTTAATGATGTTAATTCTTCCAAGCCATGAACACGATATATACTCCCACTTGTTAGTATATTCCTCTAATTCTATCTATCTATCTATCTATCTATTTATGTATGTATGTATGTATGTATGTATGTATGTAAATCCTCACCCAAGGATATTTTTTCCATTGATTTTTAGAGAGAGTGGAAGGGAGAGGGAAAGACAGAAACACCAATGTGAGAGAGACACACTAATTGGTTGCCTCCTGCATGCCCCCGACCAGAGCCTTGAGCCTGCAACCAAGGTATGTGCCCTTGACCAGAATCGAACCCAGGACCCTTCAGTCTGCAGGCCGACATTCTATCCACTGAGCCAAACCAGCCAGGGCGTCTTCCTCTATTTCTATCTTCAATTTCCCAGAGTTTTCTGAGTACAGGTCTTTTACCTCCTTGGTTAAGTTTATTCCTAAGTATCTTTTTTTTTTCTGAAATGGTAAATGAGATTGTTCTTTTAGTTTCTCTTTCTGAGAGTTCATTATTGGTGCATAAAAATGCCACTGATTTCTGGATGTTAATTTTGTATCCTGCAACTTTGCCAAATTCATTTATTAAATGTATTAGTTGTTTGGCAGAGTCTTTGGGATTTTCTATGCACAAACTATATATATAAAAGCCAAGCGACTGGAATGACGGAACGATGGGAACGACTGGTCACTATGACACGCACTGCGGCAGCCAACAGGCCTGATTGGGCCCCCCAACCGCCTGTGGCCCCTCCCCCTGGCCATCCCCGCCCCCCATCGGCCACCCCAATCCCCATCGCGGGCAGGGTCTGCCGGCCAACCTCCTGTGGCCCTTCCCCCTACCAGCGGACCCCACCCATGCACAAATTCATGCACTGGGCCTCTAGTACCATATAATCTGCCAATAATGACAGTTTTACTTCCTCCTTTCCAATTTGGATGCCTTTTATTTTTTTTTCTTCCTCTCTGACTTCCAGTACAAGGCTAAATAAGAGTGGTGAGAGCAGACATCCTGTCTTGTTCCTGTTCATATGGGAAATGGTTTTAGGTTTTGCCCATTGAGTATGATGTTAGCTGTAGATTTGTCATATGTGGCCTTTATTATGTTGAGGTATGATCCCCCTATTCCCACTCTGCTGAGTTTTTATCAAAAATGGGCACTGAACTTTGTTGAATGCCTTTTCTGCATCTATTGGTATGATCATGTGATTTTTATCTTTCATTTTGCTTGTGATGAATTACATTTATTGATTTGCTGATATTGTACCAGCCTTGCATTCCCAGAACAAATCCCACATTGTCATGGTATATAATCGTTTCATTGTATTGCTGGATCCAATTTGCTAATATTTTGTTGAGGATTTTCACATCTATGTTCATCAGGGATCTTGGCCTGTAATTTTCTTTCTTTGTGGTGTCTTTATCTGGCCTTGGAATTGGATAATGCTGACCTCGTAAAATAAGCTTGGAAGTGTTCCTTCCTCTTCAATTTTTTGTAATAGTTTGGGGAGGATAGGTGTTGTTCTTAATTGAATGTTTGGTAAAACTCGCCTGTACATCTATCTGGTCTAGGCCTTTTGTTTTCTGGAAGTTTTTTTTATTATTGCATCAATTTCATTTAGGTCCTAACAGCCCATTCAGGTTTTCTAATTCCTCCTGATTAAATTTTAGAAGATTGTGTTTCTAGGTATTTGTCCATTTTGCCTAGGTTATACAGTTTGTTGGCATATAGATATTCACAGTATTTTCTCACAATTCTCTTGTATTTTTGTGGTGTCAGCTGTTACTTCACCTCTTTCCTTTTTCATTTTATTTATTTGGGTCCCTCTTTCTTGATAAGTCTGGCTAACGGTTCATCAATCTTGCTTATCTTTTCCAGGAACCAGCTCTTGGTTTCCTTGATCTTTTGTATTTATTTTTTAGTCTGTATGTCTTTTATATCCTCTCTCATCTTTATTATTTCCTTTTTCACTAGGCTTTTCTTGTTGTTCTATTTCTAATTCTTTTAGTTGCAGTGGATCATTTATTTGAGTTTATTGTTTCTTGAGGTATACCTGTAATGCTATAAACTTCCCTCGCAGGACTACTTTCACTGTGACCTATAAATTTTGTGTTGTTGTGTGTTTGTTTTCATTTGTTTCCAGGAAGTTTATATTTCTCCTTTGATCTTATTGGTAGTCCATTCATTGTTTAATAACATGCTATTTAGCACCCATGTGTCTGAATGTTTTTCAGGTTTTTTTTTTTTTTTTTACTGTAGTTGGTTTCTAGTTTCATATCGTTATGATCCAAAAAGATGCTTGATATGATTTCTACCTCCCTGAACTTGTAAATGCTTGTTTTGTGTCCTAACATGTCTATCTTTGAGAATGTCCCATGTATGCTTGAGAAGAATGTATATTCTGCAGTTTTGGGATAAAATGTTTAGTAAATGTCAATTACATCCACCTAATCTAGTGTGTGCTTTAAGGTCACTGTTTCTTGTTGATTTTTGTCTGGAAGACCTATTCATTGATGTCAGTGGGTATTAAAGCCCCCACTATAAGTGCATTGCTGATCGTTATCTCTCCTTTCAAATCCTCCAGGAGAGTGTTGTTTTTTCAATCCTCACCCAAGGATATGTTTTTCATTGATGTTTTATTTTTAATTTTTAAATATATTTTTAATAATTTCAGAAAGTAAGGGAGCTAGAAACATCAATGATGAGAGAATCATTGATCGGCCACCTCCTGCATGCCCCCTACCAGGGATCAAGCCTGCAATCCAGGCATGTATCCTGTCCAGGAATTGAACTGTGACCTCCTGGTTCATAGGTAAATGCTCAACTGCTGGGCTCCATTGATTCTTTTTAGAGAGAATGGAAGGGAGGGAGAAGAGGGGCAAAGAAAGAAATATCAAAGAGAGAAAAACACACTGATTTAGTTACTCACACCCCAACAGGGGCCAGGAATCAAACCTGCAACTCAGGTACGTGCCCTTGGCTGGGAATCGATCCCTCGACCCTTCAGTTCACAGGCCAACACTCTAACCACTGAGCAACTGGCCAGGGCCTCCAGGAGTTTTTTTAATATAGTTAGATTCTCCTGTATTGGGTGCAAATGTTTACCAGGGTTATATCCTCTTGTTGGAACGATCCCTTTAGTATTATATAATGACCTTCTCTATCTCTTCTTATGGCCTTTGTTTTGAAGTATATTTTGTCAGATATGAGTAATATTACCCCCCATTTTTTTTTCTGTTTCCATTTGCATGAAAATCTTTTTCCATCCTTTTACTTTCATTCTGTGTGAGTCTTCTGTTCTGAGGTGGGTCTCTTGTAGACAGCATGTATATGGTCATCCATTCAGTTACCCTATGTCTTTTGATTGGAGCATTTAATTCATTTACACTTAAAGTTATTAGTGATAGGTACTTATTTATTGCCATCTTTATTCTTTATGACTATGTTCCTCTCTTTCTATTTCTTCTTCTTCTTACTATAGTCCTTTTAGCACTTCTTGCAGTGCTGGTAGGGTGGTAATAAGCTCCTTTAGTTTTTTTTGTTGGGAAGCTCTTTATTTCATCTTCAATTCTGAATGATCGTCTTGCTGGATACAGTAGTCTAGGATTCAATCCCTTGCTTTTCATTACTTTGAATACTTCATGCCAGTCCCTTCTGGCCTGTAGAGTTTCTGTTGAGAAATCATCTGACAGCCTTATGGGAGCTCCCTTGTAGGCAACTGACTATCTCTTTCTTGCTGCCCTTAAGATTTTCTCTTTGTCTTTAACATTTACTATTTTAATTATAATGTGTCTTAGTGTGAGTGTTCATCTTCATTGGGACTCTCTGTGCTTTCTGGATTTGTGTGACTTTTCTTTCACCAGGTTATGAACGTTTTCTGTCATTTTCTCTTGTTATTCTTATTGTCGTGATGGTTATTAATCCTCAACCAAGCATACTTTTCTATTGATTTTAGATAGATTGGAAGTGAGGGAGAGAGGGAGGGAAGGAGGGAGGGGTGGGGATAGAAACAGTGATGAGAGAGAGAGAAACATCTATTGGTTGTCTCCCACACGTGCCCCGATCAGGATCTAGGATAGAATCTGCAACTCAGGTATATGCTCTTGACCAGGATTTGAAGCCATGACCCTTTGGTGTGTGGGCCAATGTTCTAATCATTGAGCCACTGGCCAGGGCTCTGTCATTATTTCTTCAGTTTCTCCATCCCTTGTTCACATTCTTCTCCTTCTGGTATCACTATGATGCAGATGTTGTTCCATTTCACAGTGTCGTAAAATTTCCTTAAACTCTTCTCATGCCTTTTAAGTGTTTTTCTTTTTGCTGCTGTAATTGCTTTTTCCTATCTTCTCTTCCAAATCACTGATTCTACCCTCTGCTTCATCAAGCCTGCTTTTAATTCCTTTCAGTGTCATATGTGTGACAGATTTAGTTGTCATATTTAGTATTCTTCATTTCTGACTCGTTCTTATTCATGGTTTCTATGTCCTTTTCATGCTGATGTAGTTCCCACTAATTTCCTTACGGTTCCCATTAAATTCCTTGTAGTTCTGTTAAGTTCCTTGAGCACTGTTATAACCATTACTCTGAACTCTGATAAATTGCTTACCTCCATCTCAGTTCAGTGTTTTTCTGGAGATTTCTCCTTTTCTTTCATTTGAGGGTTGTTTCTTTATCTTCCTTGTTAGTTGTCTCTTTGTGCTTGTTTCTATGTATTAAATATACTAGTTATGACTCCCAGTCTTTGTGGGGTGGTCTTTTTATAGTAAATATCCTGTGGGACCCTGTAGTGTGGTCTCCTTGAACTGAGCTGGATCCTCTAAGAGTGACTTTTTCGTGAGGTATTTGGGCTCTACTATTGCATTAGGGTTTTGACTGCTGTTGTCCAGTTTGTGGGTGGGATCTCCTCTCAAGCTGACTCTGAGGCTCCACCCACACCATGTTGTGCAAGCTGTTGTATAGGACAAAACAAAACAAGAAACAAACAAAAACATACAGATGAACCTGACAACAACAGCAAAAACAACCTCAAAAGAAAATTAAGAAAGAGAACAAGAATAGTGAGTGAAAAAGAAATATAAAGAAATAGTCTGCACTAATAAAAGACAAACATTCAAATTGACCATACCTTTGCCATGCCTTAAGCCACGCCCACCAGCCAATCAGGGCGACTATATGCAAATTAACCCAACCAAGACGGCGGCTGGCAGCCACGGAGCTGGAGCAAGCAGGAGGCTTGGTTGCCCCAGTGATGGAGGAAGGAAAGCTTCCCGCCTGCCACGGCAGCTCTGAGCTCCACTCAAGGCAACAAAATTTCAATTATAGAAGATAAATAAACCCCAGAAACTTGCTTTCAGCCGGCTGTGGCCACAGAGCTGGAGCGAGCAGGAGGCTTGGGTTGCCCCTGGCAATGGAGGAAGCCAAGCTTCCCGCCCCGCCCTGGCAGGCTCTGAGCTCCACTCAAGGCTACAAAGTTTCAATTATAGAAGGTAAATAAATCCCAGAATATAAAAAAAAAAAAGCAAAAAAGGAGAGGCTAGGAGCTTCTGTCGCTGGGGGGCTTGGCCAGCCTGAAAACGGCCCTCAGCCCCTCACCCAGACAGGCCAGGCACCCCAGTGGGGACCCCCCCACCCTAAAGGGGGTGTGGCCAGCCTGAAAACAGCCATCAGCCCCTCACCCAGGATGGCCAAACCTCCATGGGGTGAGGGTCCCCACTGGGGGGGGGGGGCCTTGACCAGCCTGCAAACAGCCACCAGCCCCTCACCCAGGCTGGCAAGGCACCCCAGTGGGGACCCCCACTCTGAAGAGGGTGTGACCAGCCTGCAAACAGCCACCAGCCCCTCACCCAGGCTGGCCAGGCACCCCAGCGGGACCCCCACTCTGATCCGGGAATCCCTTCAGGGCAAACCAGCCGGCCCCCACCTGTGCACCAGGCCTCTATCCTATATAATAAAAGGGTAATATGCAAATTGACCCCAACAGCAGAATGACTGGGAATGACTGGTCACTATGACACACACTGACCTCCAGGGGGCAGATGCTCAATGCAGGAGCTGTCCCCTGGTGGTCAGTGCACTCCCACAGGGGGAGCTCTGCTTAGCCACAAGCCAGGCTGATGGCTGCCAGCACAGCGGTGGTGGCGGGAGCCTCTCCCGCCTCCTCAGTAGCACTAAGGATGTCCGACTGCAGCTTAGGTCTGCTCCTGAGAGCTGGGCTAGTGCCGTCCTTCCCAGCAGTCTCAAGGTGGTTTCCACCCTTCCTTGTATAAAGGCTCTTCCTCCAGTCTTCAGCTGGTATTTCAGGGTTAATATTCCCCAATTTAGTTTTAATTCCAGTTAGATTTTACATGGTACCTCCTACCACCCTCCAATCACTTCACCTGCCATTTATTTGGTTATTAACAGTACATTATTCTCCCCATCAAACCTAACGTTGTAATGACAAGACTCCGTTAGAGAAAAGACAAGAGCAATATACTCTAGTCACAGTAGCAAAACAGGGTCCAATTCTTTTATTCCCCTTCATTTTTTCCACTAAGCTATCTGAGTAAAGCCCAAGTTTAGGATACAGACAGTAAGAGAACATGGGCCTTGAAGCCAAAATGCCTGGCCACCAATTCTGGTTCAACTTACTATCTGCGTAACCTTCAGCAAATTCCTTAATCTCTGTGCCTCAGTTTCTTCATCTGTTATATGAGGATAATGATAGTCCTTACTTATTGGGTTATATGAGTTAAAATCAGAATAGTGTTTAGCATAGTGTCTCTGACATCAGATGCTCAATAAATATTAGCTAGTATTGCTCCTCGTAGTTTGGATGCCATTATGTGTTCTATAGCTTTAGATTACAACTCACAGTGGAGTTTGCCACAGGCTATTAAATTGCAGACTTACCTTGGCACCAGCTAATTCCTTCATCATAAAGAGAGAATCATCAGCTCGTTCATCATCATCATCATCATAATTTGGGGAAGAAGCTCCCTCTGCTCCTTGCCTCAATAGGCTGCCACTTCCTCTCGGATCAAACGGATCTACCACAATGGGCTCCGTACCTTTAATTTCACATCGGCAGAAAGGACAGCCCTGGCCTTCCGATTCCTGCAGAGGAGACAGGAGATGGTGACAGGCACATCCAAAACTACTTAAAATATTCATCCACTAGGAAATACATTTGAAAACAAAAAGGAAAAGTTACTCTACCCCACACACCAAGCCATCCTTTACATACAGCCCCCAGCTCTTCAGAAGGATCACACAACTGAGAAAAGGCATGATTTGGACCCACACCTGCCAGGACGTAAGACAGGACGTGCACATGAGGTGTCCACAGGGCTCGATCTTCACATCCTTATCATTCTCGGCACATATTTTACACAGTTGGAACGTGGAGCCCATCTCACAGTATAATTCATATTGTTCCTTTGATTAAAATAAAGAAAAAATAACAGTTATTCAGCCTATTTCAGGTATTTGTTGAATGAATGAATGAATGAATGAATGCAACCATAAATGCTAAAAACGGAACTATTAAAGACCATTACTGTGTATACAAATTTTGCTTGTATAAAAATTTCACATCAGTGGTCAATGTTCTCCCATAACACAGAAATTCCCTAGTCTTGGTCCTACTTTAAGCTGCATGGTTCAAAGAGAAACCACATGGAACATAAATTCACTATCTAGTCAACGGTTTAAAATTTAAGTGTTCCAGTCACTTAATACAATTCTCCTGTCAGCTCCATTAAGTCCATACAAAAGCTTGACTCTAGAGATATGGTTACCATGTCAACAAAACTCACCTGAGTCACTTTGATGTGGTCCTGGGGCGTCGGCTCACACAAGCCTGTCAGGTCGGGATTCTGATTCCGTCCATCAGGAAACAAATAGCTGTGAGAGAAGTAAGCAGCCTGTGACTTTATTGAAGTCAATTTATAACCGCTTGCTAACATAACAGATGGCATTTAGGAATTCCCTCATTGTCAAAGGGCGACTTTGCAAAAAATGCAAGAATAAATCTTACTGATACTTCAAAAAAATAAAGAACACAGAAAAGTTCCAAGAAAATATTCTCCTAAAACTGATATTCTTTCTCCAGGGCACATTGCCACAGGTCCCACCTTTCAAGGAGTTAACGAACTTTTTAAAAAAATTTTTTTTATTGATTTCAGAGAGGAAGGGAGAGGGAGAGAGAGATAGAAACATCAATGATGAGAGAGAATCGATTGGCTGCCTCCTGCAAGCCCCCCATTGGGGATTGAGCCCGCAACCCAGGCATGTCCCACTGACCAGAATCGAACCCGGGACCCTTCAGTCCACAGGCTGACACTCTATCCACTAAGCCAAACTGGCTAGGGCGACAAACTTTTTCTGTAAGGCCTGACAGTAAATATTTTAGGCTTTGCAAGCGATAAAGTCACATATTCTTTTGTGTGTGTGTATGTGTGTGTGTGTTCTTTTTTAACAACACTTTAAAAAGTATCTTAGACACAAAACAGCTGGCCTATGTGCCAGTTTGCCAACCCCTATTTTAATCTATGGATAGCCACAAAGTATAAATTCTTAATTTAAACTGCATTTGCTTTTTAAAAAATCTTTATTGTTGAGAATATTACAGATGCCCCCCTCTAAGCCTTCCCCCCCAACTCCACCTGGATCCCATACCACCCTGACCTTCACCACCCTGTTATCTGTGACCTTGGGTAATACATGTATGCTTTTAAGTTTTTTTGTTTAATCTCTTCCCGCCTCCCCTCACCCCTTCTCTCTGAGATTCATCAGTCTGTTCCATGCTTCCATGCCTCTATTTTATGCATCAGTTTATTTTGTTCATTAGATTCCTTGTTCGTTTATTTTGATTTTTAGATTCAATTGTTGATAGATATGTATTTACTAGAGGCCCAGTGCATGACATTCATGCACTGGTGGTGGTGGTGGTGGGAGGGGGGCCCTCAGCCCAGCCTGCACCCTTTAGGAGTCTGGGAGCCCTCGGGGGATGTCCGACTGATGGCTTAGGCCCACTCCCCGTGGGTGCCAGAAATCAACTGGCACTCCTTTAGGTAACTAACTGCTTTTCTCTTGCTGCTTTTAAATTCTCTTTTGGGCCTCATTGGGTTTATCTTGTTTGGGACTGTCTGAGCTTCCTGGACTTGTATGTCTATTTCTTTCACTAAGTAGGGGAAGTTTGTTGATTATTTTTTCAAATAGGTTTTCAATTTCTTGCTCCCTCTCTTCTCCTTCCAGGACGGCATCTCCATGATGCGAATGTTGGATTCTTTTTTTTTAATGCTGTTCTGATTGGTGTTTTCTGCTTCCTCATATTTCAAATCACTGAGTTGATTCTTGGCATCTTCTACTCTACTGTTGATTTCCTGTAAATTATTCTTCATTTCAGTTAGTGTATCTTTAATTTCTGACTAGTCTTTTTTTATGTCTTTGATGTTTTCACTAAATTCCTTGAAGTTCTCAGTAAGATTTTTTTTTTAATATATTTTATTGATTTTTTACAGAGAGGAAGGGAGAGGGATAGAGAGTCAGAAACATCGATGAGAGAGATGTCGGCCTGCCTCCTGCACACCCCCCACTGGAGATGTGCCCGCAACCAAGGTACATGCCCTTGACCAGAATCGAACCTGGGACCCTTCAGTCTGCAGGCCGACGCCCAATCCACTGAGCCAAACTGGTCAGGGCTCAGTAAGATTTTGAGCATCCTTATAACGACTGTTTTGAACTCTGTATCTAGTAGTTTGTTTGTTTCCATTTCATTTAGTTCTTTTTCTGGAGATTTTTTTCTGTTCTTTCATTTGTGACATGTTTCTTTGTCTTCACATTTTGGCTGCCTCCCTGTGTTTGTTTCTATGTATTAGGTAGAGCTGCTATGTCTCCTGGAATTGGTAGGGTGGCCTTGTGTAATAGGTGTCCTGTAGGCCCAGTGGCTCAGCCTCCCGTCACCTGAGCTGGGCACTCTAGGTGCACCCTGTGTGGGCTGTGTGCACAGTCTAATCGTAGTTGAGCCTTGATTGCTGTTGGCGTCACTGAGAGGAATTGACCTCCAGGCTAATTGGCTGTGAGGACCAGCTGTGACTACAGTGGAAGAGCTGCTGTGCAGGAGATACCCCTGTGGAGCAGGACTTGCTTCAGTGGGGCTTGGTGCTCACTGAGTCTGCCTCTTGAGTGTGTTGCTGGTGGATGTGTAGAGTTGTAATCTGCTATGGTCTGAAGCTGTCCACAGGGTGCACTGGCTCTGGGGCCTCCCGGGAGGTGCAAAGTCAGCCACTGCCTGGGGCCACCCGGCAGGAGCTACAGAGCAATCTATAGATGGCTGCTACTTGTGTTGAGCTTAGAAGCATCAGGAGAGGGCAAGCTGTGAACCAAGGCAGGCTACTGCTAGTGCCAGGCCTGAGGTCACTTATCAAGAGTAACGGGGCCCTAACCGGTTTGGCTCAGCGGATGGAGCATCGGCCTGCGGACTCGGGGGTCCCAGGTTCGATTCCGGTCAAGGGCATGTGCCTTGGTTGCGGGCACGTCCCCAGTGGGGGGCGTGCAGGAGGCAGCTGATTGATGTTTCTCTCTCATGGATGTTTCTAACTCTCTATCCCTCTCCCCTCCTCTCTGTAAAAAATCAATAAAATATATTTAAAAAAAAAAAAAAAGAGTAACGGGGCACAATGAGGCCAGCTACTGCTTGTTCGAGAGATTTTAGTTAAAGTCTGAAGCCTGAGCCACGTCTGGCCAATCATATGGAAAAGCCACTGCAAACAGCTTGGGTGGGGCTGCAGATTTGGTGGGTCTGGGTCTCAGGGAATCACCAGGGCGGGGCGAACAGTATGTGCCAAGTTGATGCAGACTCATATCTGGTGACTGCCTGTCAGCAATGTGGCGGGGAAGTCTCAGAAAAGGTTCAATGACCTCTGCCAGCCCTTTTGTCTGGTAGAATGCTGCTTTCAAGTTCTTACCCTAATGCCAGACAATTTAGTTCCTTCCCATATGTCCCTGGATCCTTTTTTTTTTTTTTTTTTTCAAGTACTGTGTGATCTTTATTCCATGAAAATCTTGAACTGAACACAATGTCATCTTTACATAGGATGGTAATTGTACAAAGAATTAAAACGTTTTTGTAAAATCTGATTAAAACACTGATTCCTCCTCCCACCCTCCCCACCCCACCCCCCAAATCAAGGGAAAGAGACAGGATGGAGGGTAAGGGCAGGGAAAAGGTAAGGAACCCTAAACTGAACTAAATAGAGTCTTGGCACCAGTGGACACCTGGGCTCCCACTCCTCAGCAAGTCCTCAGGACCCGAAGCCAGCTGGTGAGTTGAGGCCTGGCTGGCACCTCCCACTGCCTGAGCACAGGGTCTTCAGTAAGGAGTGGGCTCTGCTCTGTGGCTGGGGCACTGGGCACAGGTGAAAGTTCGAGTCTAAAGACCATGTTCTCTGCCAGATGAAAACCCATGGGCGAGGACAGGATCCCTGAACAGAGAGGGTGCAAGGACCCTGTAATCTGCGACTACAGCCCATGTACAAGTGTGTGGGAAGGGTGGGGTGGCACACAGGCTGACACTGTGGGAATCCAGGCTTCCATTTGTTCTAAGAATCTTCCCAGAAAGACAGTGCCAGCCACTTTCCAACTGTCCTTTGGGAATCTCTGGGCATATGGGCATAAAGACCCCTCCCAATTAAAAAAAAGCCACACGCGGTGTCAGACAAGCCTGTTCCGTGCTTCCGCCCCGCCTACCAGTCTGAATGGAGCTTCTTCTTTAATTAACTAGCTGTAGGATTTTAGACAGCTCTGAATGATGATTGTTCTGTAGTTTAGTTGTAATTTTGATGTGGTTGTGGGAGGAGGCAAGTACCACGTTTACCTACATCGCCATCTAGGTTGACTCTCCAAACTGCATTTATGTACTTTTGACCAAACACCTAAAATACCCTTGTTTACAGATTTTAACACTGAGAGACACCAACTTAAAAGAAATATAATAAGAAACAAATTAAGCCACTTGAGATCATCTACCAGGAAGCTTTTAGACTCAAACTGCTCTGGCATTTGGTAAAGCTCCAATGCTACTGTAGAAGATGATGCATAATTACCTTAAATACAAGTAGTTTTCTGATACCTAGTCAACATTGGTACTTTCAGTACTTACCAAATTATAACCTATTTAAATTCCCAAAGGAATAGCAATTCTGGAATAAATAAGAACTTAACCATAAATATCAGCATACATTACAAAAGCCCAAAGCCTGGAGAAATGCTGCTGAACCCAAGTGCAGTCAGGATGAAGGCCCCTGAGCCTGGTGACATTAGAGCAAACATCTGATCACTCTGCTGTGGCTCGTTGAATAACTGGTAACATTTTCTGCTAACTGGTATGATTTTAAATCTAACACAGACTTGAAAATAAGTTAACATTTGGAAAAGGAAAAAGATAAAGTTTACTCATAGTAATAGTGAAGCGGTAGAGAAAAGTAATTTCATCCAATTCCTTTTAAGTAAAAACGGAAGTCCTCGAAACCTGAAGGTCACAACAATATCATCTGTTGAAACGTTTCCTGAATTTTCATCTGTATAAGGAACCCATCACAGTCATTAATGATGAGGTTTTACAGGCCCTCAGTTCCCAGACCCTGGCAGATGGCAAACAGCAGGTACTCACAAGCCTTCCCGGAAGCCATCAATCAGTGCTTGGAAGAGAGGCTTGTTGTGAGGAATTGTCTGGAGAATGTTCCCATCAGCAGTGACATACCCAATAGCCCACTGACCCAGGCGAGTACAGCTCAGCCGGAATATGTAACTGAGAATAGAGGTAAACAGAATCTTTAAGACATGGTAAGTTCATATTAGGGTAAACGGTAAAACACCACCAATAAAAGCATCTTCAATGACTCCAGACCAAAAAGCAAAGACACATAAGCCCAATTCTGAAGTAGATTGAAAGCATTTATCAAACCATCAGATCTGAATGAGTCAATCCCTCTGATAAACAGGCATCAATCTGCAGAAACACGGCCATTGGGGAACTAATCAAAGGTCATGTTTTCTCTATTCTAACCAAGGCCACCAGAAAATAACATCCCGGAGAATGAGCCACTTTGGCTCATGGCACTGACCTGCCGGGTTTGTGGATGAATTTCTGGAGCCGAGCTTTTACTTCATCATACGTCAGGAAAGCCATGTAACCGGGGTGAGTCACAGCGAGACTGTTCCAGTTCCTGAGCAGAGAGGACCAGGGCTAAGGAAACAAGAGATCAATCGCACCATTTGGCTCAAGACATACGGCCCTCCTCAGAGTGACAGAGAACCTCAATTCTCAATTACAAATCCCCATTTATTGTCACAAATTTTCAATCGTATTGTCACTTTGAGGAAAGACAAATGTATTTGGAAGATAAGAACTGTGAAAACCTAAAAAGAAACAAATATATCCGTATAGGAAAAACTTAACTTTACAAAATAAAATTTAAAACACTTTAAAGCAGTCCCAACTAACAGTGGTGAGGTTAGACCACAAGAACCCAAAGAAGAGAACAAGGCAGGGATTCCATGTGCCAGGAAGCTCCACATACAGGTTATGCAGATGGCACACACACATTATCTTTAGGAAAGAAAACATGAGTTCTTCTTGAGGCATCATTACATCTCAATATTAACAGTCAAGAATGTCAATACAACAGGAGGAAAGTTGGAAACATATGTAACTCTCCACTAACAGAGAACTCATTCAATATGTCACATTATAGTCACGCACCACATACTAATGTTTTGGCATGACTGACCCCATATACCATGGTAGTCCCATTAAGATTATAACGGAGCAGCCGAACCCGGTTTGGCTCAGTGGATAGAGCGTCGGCCTGCGGACTGAAGGGTCCCAGGTTCGATTCCGGTCAAGGGCATGTGCCTGGGTTGCAGGCACATCCCCAGTGGGGGATGTGCAGGAGGCAGCTGATGGATGTTTCTCTCTCATCGATGTCTCTATCTCTCTCCCTTCCTCTCTGTAAAAAATCAATAAAATATATTAAAAAAAAAAAAAGATTATAACGGAGCAAGAAAGTCCTGTCACCTAGTCACATCACAGCCGCCCTAGCATTGTAATGCACCGCATCACTCGCGTGTCTGTGGCGGTGCTGGTGTAAGCACGCCTACTGTGCTGCCAGTCACACAGAAGTACAGCACACACACCGTTACAGCACGTAATATCTGCTAATAACAAATGGCTATCTTACTGGCTTCTACTAAATTTTTTATTGTCATTTTAGAATGTACCTTTCTTTTTTTTTAATATATATTTTTTAATTGATTTCAGAGAGGAAGGGAGAGAGAGAGAGAAATATCAATGATGAGAGAGAATCATTGATCGGCTGCCTCCTGCACACCCCACATTGGGGATGGAGCCTGCAACCCGGGCATGTTGGCGGCAGCCTCATACATCTTGTGTTTACTACATATTTTAAATGCATCATTTTCTCTTACATTTGATCTAGCCTCATCTATATATATAAAAGTCTAATATGCTAAGTGTCCGACCCTTGGACCATTTGACCCGTCGCTATGATGCCCACTGACCACCAGGGGACAGATGCTCCGACCAGCAGGTTAGCTTGCTGCTGGGGTCCAGCTGATTGGGACTGAGCAAGACGGGCCGGACACACCCTAGAGCCCTCCCATGGTCCTTCCCCAGCTGGCCAACCTCCCGTGGTCCCTCCCTGGCCCCGATCGTGCACTGGTGGGGTCCCTCGGCCTGGCCTGCACCCTCTCACAATCTGGGACCCCTTGGGGAATGTTGGAGAGCCAGTTTCGGCCTGATCCCCGCAGGCCAGGCAAAGGGACCCCACCGGTGCACGAATTCGTGCACCAGGCCTCTAGTGTTGTTTTATAAATTAATGCAGCCCAAGTGTACAGTGTGTATAGTGTGCAGCAGTATATAGTAATGTCCTAGGCCTTCACATTCACTCCCCACCCACTCAATGACTCCCAGTCCTGCAAACTCCATTAATGGGAAGTGCCCTGTACAGGTGTTCCATATTGCAAATCTTTTATACAGTATTTTTCCTGTACCTTTTCTATGGTTAGATACACAAATACTCAGTCACTGTGCTACAACTGCCTATAGCACTCAGTACAGTAACAGGCTGCACAGGTTTACAGCCTCGGAGCAGCAGGCTACACCATCCGGCCGAGGTATGCAGTAGGCTCTCCACTCAGGGTTGTGTAAGTGCATGCTATGATGTTTGTACAAGGATGAAACCAACTAACAAGCATTTCTCAGAACAAATCCCTGTTGTTATGTAGCAAGTGACTGTATACCCATTTTCTGCACATTCTACAACCATGAAACTGATGCAAAAAAATTACTTAATAGCAAAGAAAGATGATAAATGTCAAGATAAGAAAGCAGATTGTATAGTTATTATTTTTAACAAAAAATACTGTATATACATATTTATATACAGCTATGAAATGCAAGGTAATTCTAATCTTTTTTGCTTATAGTTTCTAGAATAAGTAAAAATACGTTTATAATAGGTAAAATCTCAAATGTTATTTTAAAAAGCGTTCTCTTCAGAAAAGCAGCAATAACTACTTTAACCAACTTTTTAGTAACCTACCTGAAAGAGCCGTGTAAAGATGTCAAATTCAAAAACTGAAATATAATCGTTGCAGGTCAGATCGATAGTGGACTTCAGAGCCATGGCCTCCAGCCCGGAACTGATGGGATGCACGTCATGGAGGGCCTGTCGGAAGCTCTTCCAAGGAACTATTGTCCTGGGGGGCGGGGTGAGAGGCAGAGTGAGGTAACAGATAATTCTGGGCGATGCTATAATCAAGGAAAGAGAGCCACGTTAAGCTCTCAGTATCGATTTCAATTCTCTTAAAGTGGAGCTATATTTTGGATTGAGAACAGAAAGGGAGTAAATGATATATTTCTTAACTGTCAAATGAGTAACTTAACAACAGACAAGTCTTTTTCCTCTGTTCTTTAACAGAATGTCACAAATTAATCTCTTTTCTCATCTTTCTTCATTCGTTCTATTAGACAATGGCCCAAACTGCACTAATTGAAAGCTTGTGTTAAGCTAACGTTTTAAAACCATGTAAAACATGATGAGTTCCTTGAGGAACCACACCATCAAGGCCTAGACAGGAGGAAACAGGCTGGAGGTGCAGGAAGAGCTGAGTTCTCATATAGATGAGAGAGAAGCTGCTGAACTCATTATAAGGCTGATTAAATCCCAGACAGGGCTAGCAAGAGCTATGATGCGATTTTTCTTCCTTACGATCTTTAAAACAAAGCCTTTGAGAAGCGTATGTATTTGCTTGCCTGAAAAAACAAGTAGCGTTTGGATCTCTTTTCTAATGTAGTTATTAATTAAGTTAAAGGAACAAAGTAAACTTATTCACATTCTCTTCAACTAAGTGCTTTAAGTTGTGATTATTCTATATTTTATATGTAAACACAATTTAAAAAAATAAAAATAGCATTTAAAGAGACGTTAGGATCTATATATATTCAACTAAAAACTTTCATTGCTTTTCTACCTTTTTCAGTTTTTTGATCCAAAATTTCAGATCTATAAGAACATTTGTATTAAGGTAAAAACATAAGCGTGACTCATTAATCTGTCTATGTAATTTTAAACTTCTGTTTCAAAAGACAAAATAACAAAATAGAAAGACCAGCCATAGACCATAGGAGAACACATTTGTAATTAATAAAGAATCAGTACCTTGCAACAGGAAAAAGACAACAGGCAAGTCAGAGTAAGAATCCGACCGGTCGTAAATGTGGAAAGATGCTCAGTCTCCCATGAACAGAAAGCAAACTATGATACCAATTCCTACTGCTGGTGTTGGACCAAGTGGGAACTCCTGGAATTCGTGCACACTCCCGTCAGGGAAGAAACTGCCACGACCATTTTGGGAAGCAATTAGGCAATACTTGGCCAAGCAGATGTGAAACCCCAACTCGGCAATTCCACCCCTCGGTCTGAAAATATGGACAAGCTCTCGCATCTGAAGACAAATACAATTCTATTCACGCAGCACTGTTGGCAACAGCAAATAATTTGAAATGTGAATGTCAATTAGAAGCATAATGGATAGGGAGAGGAAGAGAAGAGTATTTCATCAAAGAGCATAGGTTTCAACTGAATCTTCACAGGCTATTTCTTTAAGAAAAAAAAAAGGGGGGGGCCAGTGTGGCTCAGGGGTTGAGCATCAACCTGTGAACCAGGAGGTCACAGTTCCATTCCTGGTCTGGGCACATGCCTGGGTTACAGGCTTGACCCCCAGTGTGGGGCGTGCAGGAGGCAGCCGATCAATGATTCTCTCTCATCATTGATGTTTCCATCTCTCTCTCCCTCTCCCTTCCTCTTTGAAATCAACAAAAAAAATATAATTTTTTTAAAAAGGGAGGGGGGACGTTAATATTTACCAAAGCTGGATAATATTTACAAACAGTCATTATTTTACTGTTTTCCCATGTTTTAAATACTTCATGAATAAAAAACTAAACAAAAACTCCCAATAGAAGCTTCAGTTCTTCACAGTTAACAGTCATGATTCCGGGACTCACTTTTCCCCGAAGGCTTTCCTCCAGAACTCGGCGGCGTCCGCCTTGGTGATGCGGAACGCGTCTCCCTGGAACAGTCCGCTGGGGAAGATGCCCTTCAGCTCGGCCAGCATGTGGCTGAAGATCAGGGACAGCTTGGTCAGGTTTCGCCTGCAAATGATCAGAAGTACAATGATCAACTCAGCACAGATGAACATGAAAGTACATTTATAAACACCCCTTTCAAATATACTTCCCAGCCAGTGTTATCGAAGATACAGAAAGCGTGGGGAGAGAGAAAGGAACGTGCTGCTGACGGTCTGAAACACAGCTGACCCTGGACCAGCTGCGCATGTCCACCTATGTGGAAGGTAAGTGTGTTTCTCTTCCTCGTGGTTTTCTTAATGTTTTCTATTCTCCAGCTTCCTTTATTGTAAGAATACAGCATCCGATACATAACAGACGAAGTATGTGCGAATTAACTGCTATCGGTCCGGCTGCTGGTCAGAGCAGGAGTTGGTAGTTTGGGGAGTCTGCTCTTAGGCACCTCTAACCGCTGTGTTACTCAAGGCCCAGCTACACTCCATGAGACTATCTTTGTTTGAAGAAGGACTTCAGAAACTGTTTGCCTTAACATCATGTGAAAGCTATATAATGGCAGAAAGACTGTTGAATCTACTACATCCATTGTTCCCTCCACTCAAATAGATGCTGTGTAGTAAATAAGAAAAAAATTAACAGTGATATATTTTAAGGCTTTGAATCTTAAGTTAAACAGGCCTAATAGCTCTGAGCATAAACTAACAAACAAATTTACTTTTTTATGATGACAGATAAGAGAATTCAACGAATAAATAAGTATAAGAACTTGAGAACATTATGCTAAGTGAAACAATTCAGTCAGAAAAAGCTAAGAATCATATGATTTCCCTCATGTGTGGGATATAAAACTGAAACTCCTGAGCACAAACAGCAGTGTGGTGGTTGCCAGAGGGAAGGCGTGGGGGGAGGAGGGGGTCCAACTATATGGTTAGAGGGGATCTGACTGGGAGGTGGGCACGCGGTGCAATACACAGATCTTGTCACATAGAAACCCTCACCTGAAACCTGTATGTTCATGTGGACCAACGCCACCCCAATAAATATAATTTTAAAAAGAAAAGAAAAAAAGAACGTGTACACTACTATACTAACCACTCAATTTATAAGAGAAAGGACATGTTAGAAAAGCAAAATGTATTATTTCCTGCTTTGCATAAGCTATTCTGGGTAAGAAAATTATTATAAAATTATCAATAAAAAGGACTATTTAAATATCCAGACCTAACCAATATTTTCACTGAATCAGACCCTAAAGGTTTTACAAAAACAACTCTGTTTCCAAAAATGGAACGTTAACATCCAAACTATGTAAAAATGTCTACGTGCACGCGCTACTACCACTTTAACAATTAGTAACTTCATTGTAGTCACCTCTGTTTAATGCTGTGATTATAAAGATGCCACACTGTATCAATTTAACGCATCAGATAATATCCCAACTTTTAGCTATGTCCTTAAGCAATAATCTTTATCTTTAATGGTAAAACAAGATATAGATGATTTCGATACTGTCATACACCAATAGCTACCGACTACCCTCGCTTGCTTTCCCTTGCCTCAATAATTCGTAGTTATGTATTCAAAAGTCTATTCTTGTCATATAAGTGGACTATAAAATTTCAAGTAAATTCAGGATCAAATGTGATTGCCTAAAAAGTCTCTTTGAGCCCTAGCCGATTTGGCTCAGTGAATAGAGCATCAGCCTGCGGACTGAAGGGTCCCGGGTTCGATTCTGGTCAAGGGCATGTACCTTGGTTGCGGGCACATCCCCAGTGGGGAGTGTGCAGGAGGCAGCTGATTGATGTTTCTAACTCTCTATCCCTCTCCCTTCCTCTCTGTAAAAAATCAATAAAATATACATATTTTTAAAAAGTCTCTTTGATAGATTCTCCTGTTTTTGTTCCACACTGGAGTCAGCATCGGCCCCGCCTCTTTCCCAGAATAAAGCGCGGCCCCACAGTGACCGCCTCTAGCCTGACTTTCTGCAAAATGCTGCTGAAATCTTCCCACCAGAACCAACATCAGCTTCAGCTTTTCATACTTGTCTTCTTGTACTTGCAGCACATTAGTTTCTTTCTAGTTTCCTATTTCTTTTCTGAAAGCACCTACAAAAACTGATAAATATTAATCTGCTTTGAAAATTGTCTGAAATAATTCAGAGCGTAAAGAGCTAATGCCTAACCTCCATTACTGTTGTCCTCATTACTGTTTGCACTTTGAGAGCCTTCACCTATTGCTGACAAGGACTGTTACTGTTTCAAAATTTTTTTTTAAAAAGATCAAGAATATATCACAGAGGGATTCTGAATCAGATAACTTGGGAGTATGAACCATGACCTCCTGGTTCAAAGGTCAACACTCAACCACTGAGCCAGGCTGGTCAGGCTCAATATCAATTCCTGAGAGGCCAGCTAGAAGCACCCATCTCTAAAATACCCCGGCATCTTCCCTGCAGTTCTCTTAGTTCCCTGAACCCGCCTTCTACGAGAGCCACCTGTGCGCACAGCGCGAAGCCACTTGAGATGGACTTCCTTCCATGCCTTGGGCATCTGGCACAATGGCTAACCTTCAGGACACCGGAACACCCCGACTGCCGACTATGTGCTGGGCACCGGGGATGGATACAACCAGGGACAAACAGCACCCCTGGTATCAGGGCACTTAAATCCCGGGGAGTCCCAGGCGGTGGGAGAAAAGTGCTTTGAAGAAAACCAAGGCAGGATGTGAGCTGAGAGGGGGCCGGGCAGTGTCTCTGAGGGTGGATTCTTACGCCAAGTCTGAAGTAAAGACAGGAAGTGTGAGTCGTGGGATTCCTGGGCCTTGTCAGCATCTCTGACTCTTCAAACCATTTCCCACCGAGAATCTACCAGCACGCGGCGCCCTGCAGGCGGACGGCACCCAGCGCCCTGCAGGCGGACGGCACCCAGCGCCCTGCAAGGGGGCGGCACCCAGCGCCCTGCAGGTGGACGGCACCCAGCGCCCTGCAAGGGGGCGGCACCCAGCGCCCTGCAGGCGGACGGCACCCAGCGCCCCGCAAGGGGACGGCACCCAGCGCCCTGCAAGGGGGTGGCACCCAGCGCCCTGCAAGGGGACGGCACCCAGCGCCCTGCAGGCGGACGGCACCCAGCGCCCTGCAGGCGGACGGCACCCAGCGCCCTGCAAGGGGACGGCACCCAGCGCCCTGCAAGGGGACGGCACCCAGCGCCCTGCAGGCGGACGGCACCCAGCGCCCTGCAGGCGGACGGCACCCAGCGCCCTGCAAGGGGACGGCACCCAGCGCCCTGCAAGGGGACGGCACCCAGCGCCCTGCAAGTGGACGGCACCCAGCGCCCTGCAAGGGGACGGCACCCAGCGCCCTGCAAGGGGGCGGCAGGCGCCTTCACCCACAGGGGCCGCACGGAGGGAGTGCGCGCAGCGTGGACGGGCGCCAGGGGCTGAGAGCAGCTGAGTGCCGGCTGAAACAGGTACCGAGAATCAATTTCAGACGCGTCCTTGCTCAGGAAGGCTTCCCTCCAGAAAGCCAGCTTACATTTCTTAAAACCAACGGAGATGTGCATCGTAAGCAGCACGGTTCCTACAGGAAAGCGGGTTCTAAAAGGCCTCAGTGACATTTGAAGGCCGCAGGCTGGTGGCTCAGTGCCTTCGAGGACAGGGCCGAGTCCCAGCAGCAGCATCGGCCTGAATGTAAATCGGACCAGTGATGCCCGAGGCCCCTGGGGCTCCTGCAGGGAACCCATGCCTCCCACTCTCAGCAGGGACTCCAGTCCGCGCTGCGTCCCAGCAGCTCTCCAGGCGGCCGCTGACAGTGTCCAACGTTCAGGAAATGCTCTGACCAGACTCTTCTTTCTTAGTTCAATAGCAGCAAGCAGCACAGTGTTTCAGAGCAGTATTTGAAGGAGGTCATTTTAGCTCTAACCACTTCCATCTAAGCAACTGCCCACTCGACTCCATAGCTGCCATCTTCCTCTCCTCTCCTGTCACGACTTCCCCATAATCAAATGCTGACTCTGTATGTAGCGTCAATTTATTTTTAAGTTCAAGACTGGGTGGGTTCTTTTCCCCCAACCTGTGAAAGGTCCTACCCTAAAAGTTAATGTATCTCAGGACTAAAGTAACAGCATACATTTTTCTTTGTATCTTTCAGCTAATAAGGGACTAATATTTTTATGTCACTCATATACAGATATATTAAAAATTAAATGAGCAATTAGAGCTCCTGTTTTAGCTTCAAAGGTAGAAAAATAAATACCACCTGATAGGAACCACCACCACCATTTCTGTACATCAATCAAGAGTGTTAAAAAAAAAAAGCGTTAGAAGCCTTTATAAGAATAAGAGATTGCCCTGGCCAGTGTTGCCTGCACACTGAAGGGTCATGAGTTCGATTCCCAGTCAAGTGCATATACCTGGGTTGCAGGTTTGCTCCTCGCCCCCTGGTTGGGGCGCCAGCAGGAGGCAACATTTAATGTGTCTTTCTTACATCGATGTTTCTCTCTACCTTTCTCTCTTTCTACCTCCCTCCCTCCCTTCCACTCTCTTTGAAAAGCAATGGAAAAAATATCCTCTAGTGAGAAACAACAAAAAATAAAATAAAATAAAAGAGATAAACAGAAAATTCAAATGATGCCGACCCATGCATTTACCACTGCAGAGAACACTGGAAAACAGTTTGTAACTCTTGGCCACAAAGTGCTTTGCAGGGAAAGAGGAAATGGGGGAAAAGGACATAGTATGGGGCAGTGGTTGGCAAACTGCGGCTCGCGAGCCACATGCGGCTCTTTGGCCCCTTGAGTGCGGCTCTTCCTAAGCCTTAGGAGTACCCTAATTAAGTTAATAACAATGTACCTACCTATATAGTTTAAGTTTAAAAAATTTGGCTCTCAAAAGAAATTTCAATCATTGTACTGTTGATATTTGGCTCTGTTGACTAATGAGTTTGCCGACCACTGGTATGAGGGAAGAAACTGACCCATATTAAAATGTATTTATTAATGTTTAAGACAAGTATTGAGAGTAGTATCACTCTTTTTTGTTTTAATGAGAATTCCTTAGAAGTATGGTAAGTTTCA